TATCATCAATTTGTCAACATGAAAAAAACATTTGATTATTGAAAAAAAAATATCATACGTGGTTTGCTTTTTTTTTTTCTTTACTTTAAATTGTTTTATTCGGTTTTCGTTTTTTCCTTCTTTTTTCCTTTTCTTTTTTTTCTTACCCTGTGGATATTATTTAGTTTAATTATTTATTTATTTATTGTGCCTTGCCGATTAATGTGGTACGCCGTCAGATTATTATTAGCTACTTACAAAACTATGCGCATTTTCCATGCAGAATAAAAACGATCTTTTCAAATGCACCAAAAATCCGATGTCATTAAAATTATCACCATTCATTCAGTCAATCAGTTATGTGCCATGCATGATACACGCTTAGGCGATCATGTACCTTTCGATACATGACTGACGAGTCAGATTTTTCCCGCCTTATATTACCATTTCTTTCTGCAGTAGACCAGTTGCCATCCAATGCTATAGAACCCGGTGTGTCCTGCTATTTACCCATAGCTGGGGAGAGAAGAAAAGGATTCATACCTTTCCCAAGGATATTAGCACGTAAATGAATGTAATGGACTTCACTGCAATTCGAACTCGGCTCCCCATTACTCCGTTACGCTACCCATTACTCCACAATGTCTCCTTTATTCATTAATAAACTAATTTTATATTAATTTTGTTTTGTTGAAGGTGTGTGTGTGTGTGTCTCTGTGTGTGTGTGTGCGTGCGTGTGTCAGTCACTCAGCTATACCCACTTGACTTAATTCAGTTTAATACATACTATTAAATTTTGGATGTTCATAAATTCTAAATTTTTGTAAAGCTAAATCGCCAAAGATGTTATATTATTACAAAAATATTGAATATCGAACGTGAACATATCGAATATATGGCCCGAAACTTTCAGAAAAGAATACTTAAAAATCCGAAAATTATTTCTCTTATAAACCATTTTGATATTTTATTAAAATGGTTTATCAGCAATTCGCCCCAATTTTACGATTTTAAAACTTTTTAAGGCCTTGGTCGTTACTGAAACAACTTGAAATAAAAATGTTTAAAGAATCGAAAAATGTAAAATATACAACACACACACATATATATATATATATATATATATATATATATATATATATATATATATATATATATAAAAAAGGTGTGCATATATAAATATATATATATATATAATTATAAATAAATATATATATATATATATATAGTTATTTATATTATATATATATAGGATTTTGTCTGACGATCGCAAAAGCGTGAAACCCAGGGTCACAAACTCACATCAATCCAACCAAATATATATATATATATATATATATATATATATATATATATATATATATATAAAGCCTTTTTCAAATTCTAACTTTGTTTTTTAATAACATTATTTCCTTTTTCATTCTTTCCGCTGTTTGATTTTTTTTTTTTTTTTTTTGTTCTCGGGAAGATAAAAAAGCAAAATCAAAAATCAAAATTCCGAATTATGTAACTTTATCAGTGATTCATGATGGCTGCAGTAAAGAAAATGACGGAAGTGTAACAATCCCAGAAGAAAGGATGAAAGAGAAAAACGCCCCTTTTTCGGGTCACCAGAAATTATAAAATGTCTTGACTAATCTATTCATGCTAATTTTTTTCTGTTTTATAGCGTTTTATTTGCATTATTATAAAGTTAGAAATACAGTAATTATAAAGAAATGACTTGGGCCGGATTATGACATTTTGAGGCCCCTAACCTAACGAAATTATACTTCCACCTCAGACGTAGCCCCCCCCCTCTAACTCGTACGAAACCGTCTTAAATATTTTTTTTTTTATTACTCGTGAGATATTTTAGTCAGACATACATAGCTTAAAATAAACATATCGTAAATTATTTAAATAAAACCAGAATAGCTATCTTTTGTTTCTGACTATATTTCTGAGATGAGGTATTATGTACACTATTAACATTATCCGGACTATTGCCCTTTTTTTTGTCACCATATTTATTACAACGTTTTAAAATTAAACATTCCGGCTTTCTTCAGGTGGTTGGAATGTCAAACTGAACCCTTTATTTCGCTCACTGGGGTAGACTGTTCTAGTTCAAAATTGTCATGCTTAATGGATGTTAGTTATCAGTTATCTCCTGTTAATTCCCCTCTCCAAGTTGAACCCAGACTCTTTGGGTCCTGTCACTGGATCTAACCAACGCCTTTATCCACTGTGCCATGTGTCCTTGAGTGAGCGAAATAAAGGGTTCAGTTCAACATTCCAACCACCTGAAGAAGGCCGGAGCGTACAACGGCTGAAACGTTGTAATAAATATGGCGACAAAGATGACGACAATAGTCTGAATAATATAAATAGTGTATCTTTTGTTTGTCAATAAAAATATTTTGGAGAAATTCATCTATTTTATAATGTATTGCAAACCAAATTAGCACATGTTTCAACACTACCGTATTAAAAAAAAGAAATAGATTATAAAAAAAAAACAGCATTATAACAATAAAGCCATAAAAATAAATATAAGTTTGTCATATTGGTATCATTTAAGTTTATGAAACTATTTAGAAGCTATAACACCTTGAAATTTAAAAACAGATAATTTCTAACATCTAAACATTCTTAACTACAACCAAACAATGGTATAAACTAAAACATTCTTTTCCTTGCTTTGCAAAGTCAAATAAATATGAGTTTGTCATATTGATGTCATTGTTATGAATAATCAAGAGTGGTCTCCCCTTATTTTGTTACTCTTCTCTTTGAGAGAGCTATTTCTGTTTTACTGGGACTATAAACTATACGCGAACCTTGTATTCTCAGTTGAATAAAGCTTTCTTAAAGCCTACACCTGCGTAGTTTTATCACTACAATCATTTAATTCAGCTCATGAAAGTATTTAGAAGTTATAAAGTTTAGGAAATTAAAATCATTGCTTTCTAAAAGCTTGAGATATCCTATGCACTCTATACTAGTCTAAAGGATAATCCGGTCCTGCTTGGATAATCCAGCCCTGCTTGGATAATCCGACCCTGCTTGGGCACCATGGAATATGTTAAGGGGTAGTAATTGACCTGAAAAATATTACCACTGTTTTCTAATAGAATATTGTTTTATTTGATAAATAAATAATTCCTTAATGAATAAGTGGTAACTTTTTCATTAAAATATTATAGAACTCTGATTTGGGGCATTTTTAAAATGTGATGATAGTGTTCCTGTGTTAAAGTGTGCATGATGGAAGTGTCTCAGATGGTTTATGGCATCGTTTAAATCAAATACGTAAGACCAAACCTACTACAATCAAGAAAATCTAATAAAAACAAATAAGAAAAAAATGATTAAAAAAATGATATTTTTATTCATTATAATTATTTCATAAACTGAATTGATATCAATATGGCAAACACATATTTATTTGACTTTGCATGAATCAAAGCAAGGAAAAGAATGCTTTAGTTTATGCCATTGTATTTCAACTATGTTAAAGTGGACATGATGCTTGGAGATGTCACAGATGGTTTATGACATTCATAGCGAAACGGAATCAAAAAGTATGATGGTAATTTACCCACGCACGCATTAACTCTCACAGCTATAAATAGGAGCAGGTACTGCCTTTTAGAGAGGGAAGTTTCTAGCAGTCAGCTCTAACAGTCGGACCGAACATTCTTGCTGTAACACTTTCGTTTTTATATGTTTGTATCACTGTTTCTGTGAATATATTTGTTTAACTCAATTCCTCTCTTTGTGTCTTTATTTATGGCCCTAACAAGGCCGCAACAGAAAGTAAGGATCAATTCAATAATTTCTTTATCATTTTTTCTAGTTTATTTTTCTTTTAATGAATTCTCCTATGAAAAATAATTAAGATGAACTCGTTAGGTGCGATGAAATATTAAATAAAATTTTCAAAAAATAACAATAATAATGAGCAAAAATAATGGGGGTTCTATGAAAGAGAAAGAAAGATTTCCTGTTTGCATTTCTCCTCCGTTATGGGCGTTATTATATCCATGATATAGTAACATCTTAATACACGGACGGAACAGAATGGATGAAAACATGCTCAGTTCTCAAGGAGATTTTTATACTTCTAACTCATACACAAAATCATATACAAATATGAGAAACTATAACATATATATACAACAACGAGCAGTGTGAAAATGGCGGAGAGAAATTGAGTCTTACTTGTAATAGTTCTTAACAGGAATTCGAGTTACCGACGGGTTCTTCCATGCTTCTGTGGAAGCATATTTGTCTCAGCATATGGTTTTCATATTAAGGTGTGCATGATATTTGGAGGCGTCAGAAATGTTTTATGACAATAGCGAAAAGCAATCAAAACATAAAGGTTAATTAACAATCAATTCAATAATTTCTTTATCATTTTGTATCGTTTATTTTTCTTTTAATAAATGTTCAACTGAAAATAATTAAAATGAATTCGTTGGGTGCAATGAAATATTTTGATATTAATAGTTAATAGAATTATTATAAAATAATTATAATTAATGAAAGTATCTCTTTTTTAATCATTTTTTTCTCGTTTGTTTTTAATACATTTTCTTGATTGGGTCTTACGTATATGAGTTAAATGTTTGAAAGAAAAAGCAGTATCAACTATTGTTTGATCTTCGAACGTGTTGACAAGTGACGATATACGCTGCTGAGGAAATATATATTTTCCTTATATTTTAAGAAAATAGTAAGTAATAATTTTACAAAATCTAGTTAATTAGTTATCAAATTTACATTTCTTTAAAACAAATATCAGTGGCAGATTTTTAAAGAATTTTACTTTCTCTTTTGTTGGCATTCATCAAATTGGATAATCGACCTGGGAAAAGTGAGCCGTCTTTTTATTTTGTTTTAAAATGGCTAAAAACTTTATTTAAAGACGTAAAATTATTATTTTTATTTTTTATTTATTTATTTATTTTTGTGGATTGATTTCAGAATATTATCTTTTAAATAAAACCAAAATTTAAATTCAAGACAAGGGTTACGCACATATCACGTCGAAACACCGATTCCCGTACGATCACCGAAGTTAAGCAATGTAGATCCTAATCGATACCTAGATGGGCGATCGCTTGGGAATAACAGGTGCTATAAGCTTGGATGTGTGGGTGGTGTAATGGATAATGCACGATTTTTCTTAATCAGAGAAGCGAGTTCCAATTCCAGTTGAGTTCGGGATATTCACTTATGCGCATATACTCTTGGAAAGGTATGAATCCACCTCTTATCCCCCAGCTATAGGTTAATTAATATAGGTTAATTAGTAAAAGTTTTATCACTAGATCATAATTATCAAAAGCAAATTCTTACAACATAAAAATATTTTCTGGTTTTAAATGTTTTTGTTTTTTTAAGCGTTTCACCCCAAACAAGACGGGAAGTCACTAGGACGCAAGGGCTTACAGAAGATTTGGAGCAAGATCAGATAGGAGTGATAGAGGAAAGGATGAGGAGAAGGATAGTGGATAAATCAAGGCAACTGGAGATGTCGATTGACATTATATTTGAATAGTTGGAGATTATAGCTCTCAGGGAAACTGGAATAGGGAAGGGAGTTCCACAGGCGAGAGGTGCGAGACATGAAGCTATTGGAGTAGAAGAGACGGCTACATTTAGGAGTTTCGACAGTGAAAGGGTGAGAGCGGGATGCCAGCCTCGTAGGGCGCTTGAATTCATGAAGTCTGGGAACCAGCGAATGCAGCTCCTCGGAGCAATTGCCATGAAAGTATTTGTAAAAAAGTCAGAGAGAGGCGATGGCGCGTCTGTGAGAGAGCAACTGTAGACGAGATGCCTGAACAGGGCCAATTATATTGCATATCCACCTCTGGAGCTTATCAAAAACCCAGAGGCAAACAGAAGGGTCTCCAGACCATATAATTACACAGGCAAGTCTTTTAGATTTATTTGCATTATTTATGATATAAATGTATATAAACTATATTGGCCATAAATTGAGGGATCAGTTTACATACTGATTACAATATAAAATTGATCTCCCACTTTATATTCACATTATAATTTCTTGTCTGTTTATTAATTTCACATTAGATATGAATCCACCTCTTCTGCCTCTAGCTTTGGGTTAATTAGTAAGATTTTTATCACTAAACCCTTACTATATACAAAAACAAAACTTTTATAATATAGAAATATCTTCCAGCTTTAAATAACCTGCAAAGGGTTGATAAGCCGTAGAAGACAAACCAATCAATTAATCAAATAAGACATTTAAATTATTTAAATAAAAAGCCCCAGGAGGATCAGCAAGACAGCAGAAGGTGCTTTTGCTATGGTTATTATTAGCTTACACTTGTTGATGTGTGTATGCATCTAATGCTCGGTAAAAGGAAGTAATCCATCGTGGACATATCCGACGAATAGGAACGGTAATGCGACCTCGATACTTAATTGAAATTATTTGACAAAGTGATTTGTGAACTGTGTGAACTTCTTCGACAGCAGAAAAGGACACAATTTTTCTTCATTTCTCTCTCTCTCTCTCTCTCTCTCTCTCTCTCTCTTATATGTGTTGTGTCCCTTCAGGACGTTGTCGATCATGGCTCTTCACTATTTCTTATCGTTTTGTAACTCTTAGTCTTTTTACCATCTCCCCCAGTCCGTGTTGTACCCAACCATTTACACAAGCACTTTTGGTAGGTCATTCACTGATTTCCTTTGCCCCTCTTGAGTTCAGTATGCCTTGTGTGTGTCAAATTCTCTACGCCGTCTTTCCTTATTATATGTCTAATGTCAACTCCCTCCTATTGATATTAATTAAAAATTTCCGTTTTACTTCTATCTTCTTTAAAACTACCTAATTGCTTACATGCTCTGACCACGATATTCTCAGCATCTCTGTTTTGTCTACCATCTTTGGGAATTGTTTAGTATAAGTCTCCTTTTCTTTCCGCGTCAAGGGTAAGACGAAAAACTACACCCGCGTCCTGGATGAGACGATAAACTACACCCGCGACAGCAAGGCCTCTGATCAGGAGGTTTTGAGGAGCGTGGAACCACCCTCTTAATTGCTCGTGCTTCCAGTCCACCTTGACCCGGGGTGGTAGCATCTGTTAGGGTCCCAACTATGGGCAAATAGTTAACCCTCAAATTGGGGTTAAAACACGATGAAAGTGTAAAAATAGATTTTTATACCAGCAATAATTGTTTTTGGAGGAAAAATTATTACCAGCAATATATTTTTGAAGAAAATAAATATTACCATCAATAGATTTTAGAAGAAAAAATATTACCATCAATAGATTTTAGAACAAAAAATATTACCATCAATAGATTTTAGGAAAAAATATTACCAGCAATACATTTTAGAAAAAAAAAATATTACCATCAATACATTATTAGGAAAAGTGTATTACCAGCATATATATTTTTTGATAACAAGATTATCAGTAATACATTTTAGAATAGAAAATATTACCATCAATAGATTTTAGAACAAAAAATATTACCATCAATAGATTTTGGAAGAAAAAATATTACCAGCAATACATTGTAGGAAAAAAATATTACCAGCAATACATTTTAGTAAAAAAAATATTACCATCAATACATTATTAGGAAAAGTGTATTACCAGCATATATATTTTTTTGATAAGAAGATTATCAGTAATACATTTTAGAACAAAAAATATTACCACCAATAGATTTTAGAACAAAAAATATTACCATCAATAGATTTTGGAAGAAAAAATATTACCAGCAATACATTTTAGGAAAAAAATATTACCATCAATAGATTTTGGAAGAAAAAATATTACCAGCAATACATTGTAGGAAAAAATATTACCAGCAATACATTTTAGTAAAAAAATATTACCATCAATACATTATTAGGAAAAAAATATTACCAGCATATATATTTTTTTGATAAGAAGATTATCAGTAATACATTTTAGAACAAAAAATATTACCACCAATAGATTTTAGAACAAAAAATATTACCATCAATAGATTTTGGAAGAAAAAATATTACCAGCAATACATTTTAGGAAAAAAATATTACCATCAATAAATTATTAGGAAAAGTGTATTACCAGCATATATATATTTTTGATAACAAGATTATCAGTAATACATTTTTGAAAATAAAGAAATGAAAGTTAACAATAATAAAAATCTTGTGGGCAATAAAAAACCCATTGATGTTAATCTGCCGTAAAACAAAACAAATCAAACAAAACATTTTAGTTTCCAGTTTTCTTAAAACTTCTTTTCAAACATCAAAAAGATACTTCTGATAGATTAATGGCGTTGTAATGTAATAATCCTTTACATCTTGCATTCCGGTCACACCGTTGCAGCATATTCCTAGTGGGATATGTTGAAATATACAACAGTGGTGAGATACCAGAAGAGACTAGTAGATCTATTTTCATATCGGTGCGTAAGAAGCCAAGTACAAAGGAATGCCAGCTCCATTACACAATGGAGCTGGCAAAGAACCATATAACAAAACTTATCATCTTAATTCTGATAAAATAGACCGCGTAGTAGAATTAGACATGAAATAAAAAAAAAAAGTGATTTCGTTGGTTTCTTATTTGAAACGAAAATCATCTTCTTTGGGCCGAGAAATTATTAGTTTGGTTGAACGTTCATATATCTTTTGAAAGTCTTTTCGATTATGACAAGATATTTATAGGTGATTTTTTTAAAAATTATTATGGTTTTACTTTTTAACAGCTGAGATGATTTCACATTACGCTTTCATAAAGGGACTGGAGTAGTTAACCGTTGATATCTGCAAGACACTGTCACTTGGTGACGTCAGTGCAATGGAGGTAAAATATTTTAAATCCAAAAAGTACAGAAAAAAGTTATGTATATTTTAGACAAAAATCGCGGCGTATTAGATAGATAGATAGATAGATAGATAGATAGATAGATAGATAGATAGATATGAACAGCCGTAAAAAGACATATGAAAAGACAGATATGAACATAGATAGAGAGATAGATAGATGAGATAGATAGATAATAAACAGACTCAAATAGATAGATAGATAGATAGATAGATAGATAGATAGATAGATAGATAATGAACATTGGGATAGATAGATAGGATAGATAGATAGATAGATAGATAGATAGATAGATAGATAGATAGATAGATATGAACAGACTCAGATAGATAGATAGATAGATAGATAGATAGATAGATAGATAGATAGATATGAACAGACTCAGATAGATAGATAGATAGAGATAGATAGATAGATAGATAGGATGAAATTCAGTCAAATTTAAAGTCAATTCGAAAGAATTAATATTTCACGACTGATTTTCTTGTCCTTCTTTGGTGCGATTATTTTATCAATTTTTAATAAGATTTATTATGAAATAAACGAAAGAATTCAAATCAAAAATTTACGCCCGACTCAAAACGAAATCTAAACTCATTATTTAAGTTAACAAAAAAAATGAGTTGAATAAAAAAGAATAAAAATATAAAAAGAAAAAAACATCTGAATCCATGAATTCTTTGGAAAACAGGATTAAATCCCAATCAAGAATGGGTTCCTCTTATGCTTTCAGGGTAAAAATTCCAACGAAACAATTTTCGTCAAAGTCTTCTTAAAAAAAAATACCGACAAGTGTCTCCTTTCAAATGTTCAGTGTAAAAAAAAATATATACGCAAAAATAAAATAAAAAAAAATTGTTCTGACTCATAAAAAAGAAAGTCTTTTATTTATTTAATTATTTTTTTTTCAATCCTGTACCAATTTTTACACTTTTTTTCTCTTTCTGAACACGCGTGTGTTTCTGTGCGTGCATGGGTGAAGTTCCAAATAACTCCTTTTATTTTTCTGTTTTTTGTTTTTTCATAGCCCCGATTTTTTTTTCCGAAACTCAACATCCACTTCTTGCGTCAGATAAGACGTGTTTTTTTTTTTAATTTACGTAAAATTTAAACTAAAATTTTAGCATTCTTTAAGCCAGTGTTTCCTAAACCAATATTTGCGACTCAAATAAAGGTCGCAAGGATGCGTCTGACTTCTGCAGGACGGTTTAAAGAGAGATAAGATTTCTTCTTCTTCTTTTTTTTACTTTAAAAATAGAAAACAAAAATAGAATCAGAATTCTTCGAAAAGAAAAATAGTCTGTCTATATCTCTGAGATGAGGTATTATGATTATTTACATTATTCGGACTGATATCACCATCTTCATTGCCATATTCACTGGAAGTGAAAGTGAAAGTGAAAGTGAAAGAGCCTGAGAAGACTGAGAAGGGGAGAATTGAGGAAAGGAATAAAAAGGAACGCGGTTCAAGAAGACAGTAAGATGCATCACCAAGAGAGTATAGTCAGATTTGCAGGGCTTTGCTTGAGAGCTAAAGACAAAATTGTTAGTGAGGTTTGTGGTTGCCTACTGTTATGGTGTGGGGTCTGGAAAGACGCCACACTTAAATCAACAGAGTCAGTCGTGATAGTGATATTCAATACTCAGCTAAAGTCACTGTAATAGTATTATCTCCTTTTTCCTTGACAATTATCCAGGACTACTTATCATGAATGGATCAGTCCATTCATGATAATAAGGAGGGTAACTGGCTCTTACCACAACGCCTGCGCAAGGAAGAGCTAGCAGAGGACAACAAGCCAAGATCTATATCAAGCAGACTTGTGACAACATAAATTGCAATCCTTCTGACCTATCGAATAAGACGAACAATAGAACTGGATGTTGACAGAGTCACGGCAATCCGCGCAAGCAGTGCGACTGGATGATGAGCCACTCAGTAGAAGGAGAGTGAGTAATACAGGAGTAGTACTAAAACAAAATAAGAAAAGATATCCCTAGATCCCTAAACAGTGTGATGAGAACCATTGTATATTAAATGAAAGATTCAGTTTTAAATTCCAAAGTTACCCGGGTCGACAAATACCTGGAGAAGGCCAGAGGGCACAACGGTCAAAAACGTAATAATAACAACAAATATGAGGACAACGTTTGGAAAATAATTTCATTCATTTGTGAATATGTCTTAAAAGTTTCATTAAAAGTCTGACAATTATCTGATTTTTGCAAGAATTTCCAAATCAACGTTTTTTTACTGCAAAAAGAAGCCCAGATTTTCCCTCTGTCTTTTTTACAAATATTTTCACGGCATCTGTTCTGATGAGATTTTTTCCTTTGTGCTCCGACTATATAAATTTAAGCGTGGTACTAGATTGACAACTAAGTCTTACTGTTTTACTGTTGAACTAAAATCTCCAAATCAATATGTTTTTTACTGCAAAAAGAAGCCCAAATTTTACATACAAATTAATGGCGCCACGGTGACGCAAAAAAAAAACACAAAAAAAAAACAAAGTTTTTAACTAAAATCTCGAAGGTTTTAAAATGAATTTTTTAAAAAATCCATAAAACATCTTTTCCTCTTAATAATAACATAAATATTTTCACGATAAAACTGTGTTTTTATTAAGTTTTGGGCATTTTTTTCATCATGCACGCCAACCTTTTTAGCGATTCTTTAGGGGTACCTGTGTTAATGTCTTTGGTCTAGATCAGTGATTCACAACCGCCGAGCTACAGCACACTGGTATGCCGCGGGATCCTCTTAAGTGTGCCGCGAAATATTGTCACGGCATACATACATATATATATATATATATATATATATATATATATATGTGTGTGTGTGTGTGTGTGTGTGTTGAAGTAATAATGGTATCGTGTTAGTATTTGAATAAATCAATAAGTATTAAACTTTTTTATCAAATAATTTTATTCATTATTCTTCGATTATGTTATTTTAAATGCTTTGTTTTAATGTTCATTTTTTCAAAAGTATTTTTATGTTTTTAATTTAACTTTTTAAAAACCTTTTAACCATTTCTAGTGATTGAGAGCTCAAAATAAAACATATGACAGCACCCAGTGACACATTTTAAATTTCAATGGAAAAGGAATATCCCACATTAGCTAAAAAGGCTTTATCAGTTTTATTGCAATTTTCTACTTCTTACTGATGTGAATTAGGCTTCTTAACCCTAAATAACGTCAAAAATAAGAAGCGAGAAAGACTACGCTCAACTGAAGAAGAAATGAGGCTCTGCTTATGACACATTTGACCAAACATTGAAGAAATCGTGAAAAAACACCAGGCACAGGTTCCACACTAAATAAGCTGGATAGAAACATTGAAATAAAGTTCATATTCCTGTGAGTATTTTTTTAATCTATGGTTTTATTTTATAACACTGATAGATATATCCTTTAAAAATTTTGCTAATCAATAATCTTACGTAATCTATCTCTACTAGGCATCACGAATTATGTCACTTAATCGCCAACGTGACGTGGCTTCCTTCTGTCTTTACTACAAATGTTTTTACGGCAACCGTTCTGATGAGTTTTTTCCTCTGGTGCTGCGACTACATAAATTGAAGCGTTTAATTTAAAATCGGCAACCTGGTTTCACAATTTTATCGTTGAACTAGCTACATGCAACTGCCACGTCTATACTAACAGTTTCTTTTCTCACACTTCTCATCTGTAGAACTCCCTTCGGATTTCTTGCTTCCCTGATAACTACAATCTAAAAAATAGTTAAATATAAGGTCAATCGTTATCTCCTGTCTCCTTGAACCCTGTTTTGTTATTGTCCTTTCCTCACTAAAGTTTTCTCATTTTCTTTCAAACTCTGTAACCATCTGCGTACTAATTGTATTATCGCCTTGCTCAGATTGTAATGATTTTGAAAAAAGTGACTTAATTTCCCAGCATTGCCATCGTAAGTCAAAAGATTGATAGTTTCACTAAGTTATTTACATATCCAACTCTATCTTGGTTATTCTGGTGCCGGGTCCTGGAAGCAACCTTTTTCATACTAGCGTCCTGAAGATGTCGTGATACAGGGGGGCTCAGAAACCCCGAAAAACTTATAGATTACATCATTTGATTTGGTTAGAGGACCAGAATATTTCTTGGTAGCTGCTACCTTTTGATGTGCTGATAGTATAACTAATACTTAGCCTCAGAAGGTTTCCGGCCATATCACGTTGAAACACCAATTCTCGCACGATCACCGAAGTTAAGCAACGTCGATCCTGGTTATACCTAGATGGGTGACCGTTTGGTAATACCAGGTGCAGTAAGCTTGGATGTGTGGATGGTCTAATGAATAACGGCTCGAAATTGGAAAGTGGAGAACCAAGTTCTAATTCCAGTCGGGTTCCTTAGATTTAATTACGCGCAAATATTCTTGGTAAAGGGATGAATCCAACTATTCTGCCCCCAGCTTATCAGTAAATTACAATCAATAATAATCTAAAAATATTTTCTGGCTTTAAATAACCTGGAAAAGATTGATAAGCTTTTAAAAAAAATTAATCAATCAATCCAGATCAGAAAGGATATAGTTTAAATTTCTAGAGCACATAATGAAGAAAGGCGGCTTGGAAAATTTAACACTCACAGGGCATACTGAAAGCAAGAAGCACAGACAAAACCAGCCAACGAGCTTTGTGTAAATCGTTGGCAGGACAGGGTTTAGGAGAGATAGCAAAAAGATAAAATGTACTAAGATCTACAAAAGACAGGAAATTGTGGAGTGCCATGATTGTCAACGTCCCGAAGGGGCACGGCACAAAAATAATGTTTTATTTTATTTATTTATTTTTTTATTTATTTTTTATTTATTTATTTATTTTGCTATATTGTGTCAGTAGAACTATGTTTAAAATAAAAACACATTTTCCTGTGTTATATTTGAAGTTAATTTTATCCGGAAAATGCCGGGTATCCTTACTAGCCAATAGATAAATAAACTGGTCGATAACTTACGCTACTTTTTCTTTTACCGCCAAAAAGTATTATCAACTACCTTGTAGCTTGTTCCCGATAATTTGTTGACTGAAAACGCCTGCAGAGACGGGCGGCTAGGCGTGTGTCTCCCAGGCAGGGCACCCGTATTACGCTAACAGGATTGGATTAGGGGTACACTCTGATGCATGCGGGAAAAATCGATCAAACTAGAATTTTTTTTTTTTGCTTTTGGTTGTGGTATGAAAAGATTGTGTCTGTCGCTCTATCTATCTATCTATCTATCTATCTATCTATCTATCTGTCTGTCTGTCTGTCTGTCTTTTCCTACGGCTTCCTTTGTGACAAAAACGTACGCACCATCAACATTGTTAATAAATGTCTTGCGTTTGTCATACTTTCTTAAGATTCGTCACGCCGGATATGAACCAGAAATAATCTTTGAATTGCGAAAAAGCAGGTCTCTACGATAATTCTCTAAAGTCAATATCGGAATGAGGACTTCGGATATTTCAGTTGATAAACCCAACCTCACAAGTTCAAATGTCGATATTCACAGAAGGTTGTTATCTTAGATTTTACTAACATTTCACTGACTACATTGTCTTGTAAGGCTTTTCCTTTCTTTCTTTTTTCATTTTTTCTTTTCTATTTTTTTTTTTTTTTTTGTAGCATTCCGATGTTCTTTTGTGACAAACGAAGGAATTTCGGTGATCCATAGGATGTTTTAAAGAACGAATCTAGAGACGCCGTTATGAAAGCAACCTGAAATTCTTTGATGTTTTCTTGACAAAGCATTTGCCTCACCAGAATCAACCCGCTGAGTACGACAACAGTAGAAAGAAGGACAGTGAAAGAAAAGCCAAATTACGATGGCATTTAATCTTTTGCTGATGAATATGAGTAAAAGATTTATTTTATTTCGATTCCCAGAGTGCGTAAATAAAAAAAATACATAGATAAATTAAAAAAAAAAAAATGAGATAAGCTAAAAAGGAAAGACCAAAGGAGAAAAAGAAGGAGCCCGTGAGAAACAACGGACTTAATTTAACTGTCTCCTTCTATTATATAAATATGTTTTTTTCACTGATCTTTTCGGTTGTATATATTTTCCGACGTCATAATCCCATTTCTAGCGACAAGCGAATATGCAAATATTTTGGCACGAAGTATTAGATATTTGGATTACTTCGGGGCAAGCCAAGAAAAGAATGAATTACACAGTGATATGACAGGATGTCGGGATATTTTGTAGTAGACATTTCTTAAATAAGGATTTGAAAAGTGGAAAAGAAAGAATGAAAGAAAGAAAGAAAAAAAAGAAAGAAAGATAAAGGATGAAAGAACGAGGTCAAGCAATATAAAAAAAGACAGAGGAAAAAGGAAGAAAGAATAGAAAAAAGAATGAAATATTTTAAACATAAATAAAAAGAATAAAATAAAAAAGAAAGGAAAAAGAAAGGAAGTAAAGAAAAACTCAAACGAGTTCATACAATATAAAAGTGAAAGAAAGAAAGAAAGAAATAAAGAAAGAAAGAAAGGGCGAAAGAAAGAAAGAAAGACTTTAAATAGGGAGAAAAATAAAGGAAGAAAAACGAAGTCAAACAATGTGAAAATGAATCAGGAGAAAGAAAGAAAGAAAGAAAGAATAACAATAATAAAAATAATGGAAGAATGAGTTCAAACAATATATAAACTAACCAAAGAAAGAAAGAAAGAAAATAGTGACACCGTGATCTGGGAAATGTTTCTAAAAACAAAGAAAAATAAAGAAGTAACATAAGAACAAATAGAGAAAGAGAAAAGGTCAAAATATGAAAGAAAAAAAAAATAGGAAGTCATGAAAAATACAATGAAAGAAAAAAAGTTTGTCGACCAAGGGAAATACTAAATTCATGCCTTTCTTCGATATAACGCCTAGATCTCACAAAACCCTATTCTTCCCCTGGCATCTTTTACATGTACTGAGTGACCCCTAGTCGCCAACGAATATATAGATAAATATCTATAGAGGTTTCATCATCCAATAACCGGCACTTGGAAATGGATGACGTCGGATTTACGCCCGAAAAACGGAATGTTACTAAAAATAGAAAAACGGTAAGAATCCAGAAAACGAAATGCGACAACCCCATCCTAAGCATTTCCTATGTAGACTGCATCGCAGGGCGAGACACCGTCAGACAAAGCCGTAAAGAAGAGGTTGCTGAAATGCTATGAACACGTCATAGGAGCCAATAAACATCCCGCTGCCATCTTTCTTCCCAAAACCGCCACTTTGAAGAGTAGACTGTATGCTTCCCCCGAAACTCAATAATATAGAGCCTTCAATTCAAAGCTAAATCGTTATTTATCACCTATTTGTAATCTTCACTTTTGACTACCTCCTCTTACGGTCCTCAGGCGTCATGCACAGCCTTCTACCTTGAGTGGCTCTTGAGACTTATATTCGGTAAGCTTTAGTTAAAAAAATAAAATAAATAAAATAAAATGTCAGATGTAATGTGTTCATATTTCTAAGGTAATAAATAGATTATCCGATTAACACCCTGTTCAATCCGATAAATCTTTATTTCTCATGACTCGCGTTATTTGCTGTCAGTGAATTGTAATAAAGGTTGGGGCGGGGTCAAATAAAGTGCAGGAGGGGATCTCTTTAATTTTCAAAATTTTAATAAGCATCCGCACTATGTTTATAATATTATACTGTGGAACAGACTCCCGCGTGGATACTTTCCGAACACTAAACCTCGTCAAGCCTGGGGTCAATCGTTATCTGTCTTCCATATTCTCATTGTCTCCACTTCCTACTTCTTCCACTTAAGTTCTTATTTCACATCTCATTCAGTAACTCTCGACCTTGAGTGGCTCTTGGGTCTTTTTTGTCGGATGTACTTTAATAAAAAAAAAAGATTGCAGTTTACCATTTAAAAGAAAAAAAGAGTAGCTAATAGTTGCTTATATATATTCTTTCTTACGCTTTTGTTGGGTTACAAAGACACGCGATTTCATTCTTTTTTCTCTTTCGTCACGAGAAACGCCAGCTTAGCATAAACAGTACTGATGATTGATTATTTAAGCATACACACTCGTATTTCTTTCTTTCATTTTTTGACACGATGAAGTCTAGAAAGGCGAAACGCGTAATCGAATCTATTGTGACACCATGCATACCTGACGAGCTGAGAGAAATATTCATAGATATATGATTTGTTTTTTACGATTTATCAACCATTTAATAATTATTTAAGGCCAAAAAAATATTTTGGGTTTTAAGAATAATTCTTACTTTACATTCAAGCGATCTGGGAGAAAGAAAGAGAAAACGAAGAAAGAAAGAAAAAAATAATACGAAAACAGGTCATAGGCGAGCACACACACGCACGGCTGACAGATAACAGGTGTCGAAAAATATTCAGGTCAAGCATCTGACCGATTTCCGCGGATCCGCGAAAATGTTATCAATTGTGTCATTGAATGATAGTAAAGAAGAAACGAAGTTTAGGGACAATGAAAATATTGGGGGAAAGTGTATCATTGGAATGATAGTGAAGACAAACCATTAATACGAAAAAAAGGATAGACAGTCTTCATTAATACGAAAAAAAAGACAGTCTCCAAAATTAAAAAAAAGCCACACAAAAAATTTCTTTTGAAAAAAACGTTTTTTTTGAGATAATAAAGATTTTTATTATCAGACCTTCGAGCGGAGGAAAATGAAATATTTTTATTCCGTTTCAGAAACGCCAACGAGTCTGAGAAATTCCTTTCTTAGATCATATCCAATTAGCGATAAACTGCTTGACAAATACCACGTGTTAAAAAGCCGAAGGTGTCATCTCAGTCGCTCATGATAAGGGCGATTTAATTAATATTTTTTTTTTTAAGCAAGGTATTTCTTTCCCAAAACAAAGCCACGGATTGTCCACGCCCGACTAAAGACGTCATTGGCTAAATAAGATCACATGACACACGAAGGAGGAGGAAAGATACCCGACCAGGACCTCATTGGCCGAGAGCGGTCACGTGACGCACGAGGAGAATCGGTCGACGCCCCTGTCAGGAGTGTAAGTGTAAGGAGCCGATACGAAGAAGTGGGGAAGAGGGTACACGCCCCTCAGAGGCACAGTAAGGGAGTGGGAGTGAGAGGAGTTACCGAAAATGGAAAAGAATGAAAATCCCTAACCAGAAATAAGAAGGGTGGATACGTATTTAGAATTATCGAAGAACCCCTGGCGCCGACAGACCCACCCCAGTTTTGACGGCGTCAATAAAAGCGAAACCCCAACCGACAGAAATCAGTTTTGAGTTTGAGCGGCGGACGGCTGGGCCAG